GTGCAGAGCATTCCACTCGAATCCCACTATTATTCATACTGTTCTGTACCGAGCATGTGCTCATATAGTGGTGCAGAGCATTCCACTCGAATCCCGCTATTATTCATACTGTTTTTTATGTAGCAAGAATTCTAATTGGTCTTAATAATAAAAACCTGGAGCCAGATATGGGGGAAATTCTGAAAGATCAGAGAGGCAAAGAAACAAGCCACAGACACCAATATCCGGCTGCAGGTTTTCAAGACCAATTAGGATTCAAGCTACAGTTTTACACCAAGCACATGCTCACACAATGGTGCTTGTTTCCTCTGGCCCCAAAACCCGTCTCTGAATCTTTTTATTTGGTTAATATATGTTTGTGTCTTTGAGAACACACATGTGCCACCCTACTCCTTCACTCTGAATGATGATAAATGCTCATGTCTCAATTTATTCATTTGCTTGTTTATTTGTTTATGGGGAGACCCTCCTGTAGCCCTGGATGATCTCCTGCACTAACCCATTCTTGTCTGGGCTCCAGTCTCATTGTGTAATGATGATATGACAAGTTGTTAAAATTGTGTGAAATCTTTCCCAAGTTCCCTCTCTGGCTGACACCTTTTCCAACTCCCAGCATGAGATTCCTGGGGAAATTCCCTTCTCTTTGGAGTCCATTGTTCCAACAGTGTGATTGTCAGATTGAAGACTTGGCCTCTCCCTTGATTTTTCCCTCCATGCCCTTTTTTCTTAAGTTCCTAAAGCTCCGTCAGCCTGCGCACCCTAAGATTTCCCCTCCCGGTGGGTGCAGAACTTACGTGAGGAGTGCACATCCTTCTTCAGGTGCAAGGGTCTCTGGGCCACAGCAGCCCCCTCCTTGTGGAGGCTGCCCACAACCAAACTCTTTATGGTCCCCTTGGTGTAAAACACCACCAGCAAAATGTTGGCTGCTACCAGAGCGAGCACAGCACAGAGGACCTTGGAGCAGCTCCTCCGCCAGAGTCTCATCATGAGCCTGGGGAGCCTTGCTCCCTTCGGGCAGAGCCTGTGAAAACAGGAGCAGAGCCCACCAGCCAGGCTGTGTGTCTCAGGTGGGTGGAAGCCTCACAGATGACACTCTACCTGCTAAGCCTGACGTTCCCTGGCTGGGAAAGCTGTCACAAGCTGCCTGCCTTGTCTCTAAAGAGTGTCAGGCATGGGCAATGGACCAGGGCAGCCACCCAACGATCATGAGATCACCTAGATACACTTGGCATCGCCTCAGAAGTCAGGGACATGCCTGTGGCTCCTGTAACTACCTCAGACTGCCCAGGGGAAAACCTTTCTTCCACTGGATTTTGGAGTTCTGCCTATCATGTGCAAGGATTAGGTAGTGAGCCATAATGTTTGGTTAATGTTTTGTTCATCACCGTCTCTTCCTGTGGAATAATAAGTAAGGGCTGGTCTAGGGTTGGGGGAGCCCAGAAGAGAAGGATGTGAAAGGAACTGTTGCATGAATCCAACTGGTCTTATAATAAAAACTCAGAGCCAGATATTGGGGTAAATGCAGAAAGATCAGAGGAAACAAGCCACAGCCACTTCTCACCTCGCCAACTCCTCAGCCAAAAGCAGAAGATCCTGTCTCCACAAATCCTCAGACTGAATGCCCCTGAGTCCTCAGCCTAAAGGACTGAGTTTCTGTCTCTTCCTGCCTTATAGGCCTTTCTCTGCCCAGCCATATCACTTCCTGCCTCAACCTCCCTGGTGCTGGGATTAAAGTCATGTGCGCTTCCTAAATACTGGGAGCAAAAGCATGAGATCCCAAGTGCTGGGATTAAAGGTGTGTGTCACCACTGCCTGGCCTCCATGTTTAATCTAGTGGCTGGCTTTGCCCTCTGATCTTCAGGCAAACTTTAGTTGTTAAGAGCACAAAAAAATATCCCCACAAGGAACCCACGAAGCAGCAAGAGCCACAATGGCTGCCTGTTCCAATGCCACTTCAGGTCAATGAACACAGCAGGCGTGCAATGAACGCTTCTTCAGCTCATTTCAGGAGAAGCTTCAGTCCCGGATGGATCCCCAGGCGGCTCCTGTAAGCAGGTGCAGTGAGCTAGGGTGGCCCTGGGGTGAGCCTCAGGGAACAATCCTGCTTCAGTGTGTGTGTCCTCGTCCAACCCTGGAGTCTGGAGTTTTCCTCCACTTCAGCTCTTTAACCCCTTCACCTCCACACCCCATACTTCCCATGTTTTAGACAACTCACCCAATTATCACTCTAAATTCACCATCTAAAACTGTCCTCCAGGTCAAAAGTGTAAAATCCTCAGTCTCGTAGTGGTCCCCTG